CCAAGTTCGGTGGCGACTTCCCCGGCGCCACCAGCTTCCCTCAAGTCATCACAACTGCTGCTTCCTTCAACGAATCTCTATGGGAGCAAATTGGACGGGTAAGAATCCGGGTCTATATATATTTTCTATTAGTCTGAGTGGGTGATTATGATTAATATTTATTTAATTTTTTTAAATTATTAATAGTGTATATATATCTTAAAAACATAATTAATTAAACTTGATACATCAAATAATATTTTTCACTAAAATCATTCAATAAATTTATATATTTATATTTAAAATAAAGATAATTAAAATTAAAATTAATGGTTTTTTATATAAAAAAATATTAAAATGATTATAATTTTAATGATTTGAATATAATAGTAAGTGGAATATATCATCCACTAAATCCACGAAGAGTGATAATATTATTGGTTAATTGTCATTTTCATTCATCTAATATAATCATAAAAATGAAAGAGAATCTAAGGATTTGTATGGTGATAAATTGTTAATGAAATAATTAATATACCAATAATCAATTGGTCTAGTGGGATGATGCTCTAGATATATAGATGTACTTAGAGGGGTTGGGTGGGGTCGGTCGTCCTCCAATTTTAAATTCTTAAATATTTAAAATATTTTAGATATTTTTTTATTAAAAATATGTTTTCGTCTCCCTAAAATTTTATTAATTCTCCATACTTAAAATTTTATAAGTTCATCACTCCTAACATAAAATTTTACGTTCATCCTCTTAAGCAATATCAAGAGTTTGACCCTTGACGTTTACCAATGAAGCAAATTAGTTTGAGAAAATCGGCGTATATAAACTTGTGTAAAATCCTATTCAAAATAGTCAATCAATAGATTGAAACCTGAATTTCAACTAAAAAATTAAATAATTAATATAAATCAGCCTAAGCCTTGCATGTATTGCATCGGAGACACTTAGGGACCAACCGTTTCATTTTAGGCCACTAAAAAAATTAATTTTTCTTTTAGATTGTTGGATTAATTGCATACATTTTTAAATTTATGGATAATTATTTTTAAAAATATTTTTATTTTCACCGTTAATTTCAATTATTAAATTTAATTAATCTATTTAAAAATGTGCGAAATATTTTAAAAAAAAAATTATACTGTATCAACAAATTTTATCTCTTAAAAATATTAAATTTAAATCCTATTATGTATGAGTAAAAATATAATTTTATTATTTTGTAAATTTGAAATTTTAAAATTTAAAAGATGACAATAATATATATATATTACATTTTAGGGGTAAGCCGCCTTCAGCTTTCTAGGCTTGTCTCTGATAAAAGGAATATTTATTAATGATAATTCTTTTAAAATATAAATTATCAATGACATGATTGTGAATAATATATATAACTTTTGAGTTTTATATAAATTTTGTCAACTTAATTTAAAGAATAGAATTAATAACATGAAATGAGATATTTTTACGAAAAATTAAATTATTCTCAAATCTAAAATTTATAATCTCAGTTATTAAATTTAGTTAATTTAAAATTACAATAGACCTGTTGGTTAGTTATTATCTTATTTTCTTTTAATTTTTATGGCCATAAATTTAGAGACGAGTGTTGTTACAGGGTTGGGTGAAGAGTGTACATGCAAATTAAGTTTTGTGGGTATTCAGTACTATTGGTGAACCTCACATCACATTCATTTTATAATCCGAAAACAACGCATTCCAAACGTGTACAACTCTACTTTGTAATTAATAACAAATAATTGACCTTCTTTTACCAACTTTTATGCAGCTATATACGCATAATTCTAGGTTAAGAATTGAATTTATAAAATTTTATGAGATATAATTTATAAAATATTAAGGTGAAAATAGAATATTAATAAAAAAATATTTAAATTATATAAAAGATTATAACTTTTAGAAGAACAATAGTTTCTGTCAATCTTTCTATCTATCCATGTTTGCACGTGTTTGATGATAAAATGGTTTTAAAGTTAACAACAAACTTTTACTACATTGAAATTTGCATGTAAGACAACCACATTTGATATTCTTTTGTCTTGGTCAGCTTTTTATGATGATGCTGACAACTGTCTTAATCAATGTGCTAATTTTTCTAATGAAACATAAGAAATTAACGTGGCAGTTGGAGATTAGCTCATTAGTAGGAACTAATAATCTGCGTGTTTATCATAGGTACGGCGACCTTGGGTCCCATTATTGATGAACTCTATTCGAATATGAATCACAGGTGGTATCGGATGAAGCTAGAGCAATGTACAATGGAGGAATGGCCGGTTTGACATACTGGAGTCCCAATGTTAACATATTCCGAGACCCGCGGTGGGGCCGAGGCCAGGAGACTCCCGGAGAAGACCCTGTTTTAGCCGGAAAATATGCTGCCAGATACGTCCGTGGCCTCCAAAGTTCGACGGGGACCCGCCTCAAGGTGGCTGCCTGCTGCAAACATTACACCGCATATGATATTGATAATTGGAATGGTGTGGACCGATATCATTTCAACGCTAAGGTAAGCAAAGGAACCAACATACCCCTCCAACTTGACAACTTGTTTTCCAGGCAATTAATTGCTGCAGAAGATTGCCATTTTTATATTTGTTTTTCTATTGGATTTCACTTTCGGTTTTTCTCATTAAAATAATTTACTGAACATGAGGAAAGTCCAAAAGTTGTGGCCAAAACTGGCGACTTTCAATGTCCTTACCTCTGTAAGAAACTTGAAAACGACTACTCAATAGCTTTGGACAGCTCTTATAGCTTTTACATAGAGCTTGGAGCACTAGCTAGCTATGGAATCTGGACCATTCAATAAGCCTAATCAGACAGCCTAAGATTAACGTCACCTCACCTCTCTTTCAAATTAAGGGTTTTAATTGATAAAAATGGATTTGCAGGTTAGTAAGCAAGACCTGGCGGATACCTATGACGTGCCGTTCAAGGCTTGTGTGGTGGAAGGGAAAGTTGCAAGTGTAATGTGTTCTTATAATCAAGTCAATGGGAAGCCCACTTGTGCTGACCCTGACCTACTCAAGGGCACCATCCGAGGTCAATGGGGCCTTGCTGGGTGTGTTTCTGTCACCTTTATGAAAATATACGAATTCAATATGCTTTTTTGCGGGTTTGGTTTCTGATTTTTATGTTATTGCATGGATCAATTAGGTATATTGTATCAGATTGTGATTCGGTTGGTGTAATGTATGATACTCAACATTTCACTGCTACCCCAGAAGAGTCTGCTGCAGATGCCATCAAAGCAGGTCGGTTGCATCCTTTGAGGCTAATGCATAATGTTGATTCAATTATCATTGATTGACCATTTGATTCTCTGCAGGCTTGGATTTGGATTGTGGACCATTTTTGGCGATCCACACCGACATGGCGGTGAGGAGGGGCTTGATATCCGAGACTGATGTTGACATGGCTCTAGCCAACACTCTTACAGTCCAAATGAGGCTGGGCATGTTTGATGGCGAGCCATCAGCGCAGCCATATGGGAACTTGGGTCCGAGAGATGTGTGCACCCCGGCTCATCAACAACTTGCTCTCGAGGCTGCCAGACAAGGCATAGTTTTGCTAAAGAATGCTGGGTCTCTGCCATTGTCCACTACACGTCATCGCACCATTGCTGTTATTGGACCCAACTCTGATGTCACTGTAACTATGATAGGAAATTATGCTGGTAACAATCCGTTTTTCCGGTAGTTCTTCATTTTTTAAGTCAAGTTCATGAATTTTGATGATTCCTTTGTTTCTTTTTTATGCAGGAGTGGCATGTGGTTACACGAGTCCATTGCAAGGTATTGCAAGATACGCAAGGACCATTCATCAACCAGGCTGTTCAGACATTGCTTGTGGCACAAACAATCAGTTTGGATTGGCGGAGGCAGCATCCCGCAATGCAGATGCAACCGTACTAGTAATGGGGCTTGACCAATCTATAGAAGCAGAATTCAGAGACAGGAAAGGACTGCTCTTGCCTGGACTCCAGCAAGAGCTCGTTTTCCGTGTGGCTCGAGCCTCTAGAGGCCCAACCGTGCTGGTCTTAATGTCAGGTGGTCCTATTGATGTTACATTCGCTAAGAATGATCCTCGAATCAGCGCCATTATATGGGCCGGTTACCCAGGTCAAGCTGGTGGAACTGCAATTGCAGATGTGTTATTTGGAACAACCAATCCAGGTAATCTTTCATTTTCGGGACATTTTTAGGTCAAATTTCCACTTTTCAAGCTAATTTTCCTATATATAACAGGAGGAAAGTTGCCAATGACATGGTACCCACAAGATTATGCTGCTAAAGTCCCAATGACAAACATGGGGATGAGGCCATCAGGAGGCTACCCTGGAAGAACCTACAGATTCTACAAGGGACCAGTAGTGTTCCCCTTTGGTCATGGCTTGAGTTATACAACTTTTAGACACTCTTTAGCCTTAGCTCCAACTGATCTCTCAGTACTTCTTGACACCAACCTGTTTGCCACCAAAAACTACTCGTTGTCAAGCAATGCCGTAAGGGTGAAACATGCCAAATGCGACTCACCATCGTCGCCTTTTCACATTGACGTGGAAAACACCGGCAATATGGATGGAACTCACACCTTGCTCGTTTTCTCTTCACCACCTGCCGGACAAAAATGGTCTCCGAACAAGCAATTAATAGGTTTCCGTAGAGTTCACGTCATCGCGGGGTCTAAACAACAGGTTAAGATCAACGTTCACCCCTGTAAACACCTTAGCGTTGTCGATGAATTTGGAATTAGGAGAATTCCAATGGGTTCACATAGTTTACACATTGGTGATCTCAGGCATTCTATTTCTCTCCAAGCAAATTTGGAGGGCATTAAGGCCTAAACTCTGAAAGAGTAAAAAGCATACTAAAACTTAAGATAATTTTCATTAATCTCTCTCAAATCAAACGAGAAAAAAGCTGTAAAAGTTTGGGAGAGCTTCACTTTCAACCACACTTCCAAAGGGAAGAAAGTGGTTATACCTTGTTTGGATTTTAATAATTGTAAAATAGGTATCGAGTTACCAATCTATTTTGTTTATAAAAACAAAATAGATTTAAAATTTTAAACAGATTTGGCCTGTAATTTAGGGTTTGGATTATATTGTTTGTGTTAACTTCAGATTCAAAACTCTGAAGATTTATAGATATAAATGAATTTCTGATAACTTTTTTTCTATTATGTTAATATATTTTATTTTATTCCATTTAGCATTACCTGAGAACCCAACCCCCAAACTGAAACTATATTCGATCTTCGATGCCTATGCCCTACCTCACCCACAACTAAGCTCCATACGCCCTAACCCAAAACCCCCTTACCAAGGCACCCAAAATCCATAGATATGAATCCCAAATCCAAAAATCCTCGAATGGGAACCTTAAAAAAAAGGAAAAGTAAAAAAAAAAAAAAAAAGTTTACTTTTCGATCACTGTTGACTAAGAAATTCGGATAAGGGTCCTTAGAGTGAGAAGGTTTGCGCCAATATAGAGAATATCATATCTTTATAATTGTAAAGATATGACAGTTTGATGTCGAGATCAATGAAAGGAAATCGAAGGATTTTAATCTTGACCTACGTCACTCAATTCCTGTATCAACGAAACCGGCCTCAAATATAAGCTTAGGGCGATACGACAAGTCTTCTAGAAATTTTTGGAGACATTCGATCGTTATTGATGGCAACGTCTGCTGACCAATGTCCATTAGGCCAATTTCTAGAGAAAAGCTTAAAAAATAGAGAAAGAAATAATAATAAAAAATCGAAAAACAAAATTTGGGTGTAAAAATCCTCTCAAAACCTTATTAAGCGTTCCTCGTCGGATTTAACCTCCAAATTCCATTTTTTTCGCTATGAAATCAAATCTGGACTTAATTTCCTCTAAAAGGACCCCCAAAAACTTAGATCTAAAGGTAAATATTTTTCTTTTCAAGAAAAGGGTAAATCCTTCAGGTTCTACCCTTAAACATCATTAGTTTGATCATCAGATGGAGTCACCAATGAGATTTTTTTATGTAAGTGGGCCTTGTAGTGTAAGCTCAATCCTAACACCTCAAATTCTTTGAGAAGACTTGGACTCATTCCAGAAAGCAACTAGGCTGCTGAAAACGTAATCTAATAGATAATATTATATACAATCGTATAAAGTTGTTTGACTTTTATAATCTTTTGTTTCATGTGCTGCTTAGAATTTATTTACCATTTTTTTATTATCTACTCTCAATTGTTTTATTACTAATTTTTTATTAAGTTAAAGGTGATTACAAGTAATATACGTTTTAAGTATTATTGGTCATTTGATAATAAATGCTCAATCACTCTTGCAATCGCTGGTACTTGAATCCATGATCTCTAGAAATAACAACGAATCTTTTAACCACTGAGATAAGTTGGTTCTGTTGTTTTATTACTATCATATATTCGGATAGAGGGTTTTTATTATACTGATTATAGTATAAGATCATAAATATTTAAGTAAATTATACGTTTAGTACCTAAATGATCAAAGTTGGTTTGTTTTAGTATTTAAACTTTTATTTTTTCAAAACCACACATATCATTTAGTTTTTGTTTCATTTTAGTATCCATCCATTAAAAACTTAATGAACGAGCTGACGTGGCATAACTTTGATGAACGGACGACCAGTCGGAACGGTGGACCATAAAAGAATGACAAATCGACCAACATAGTCCAGTATCAGGCCCATCAAACGATAGACCATGGAGATCGAAGGATAAAGAAATCGAAGAGTCCATCGTCGATTTGTGGAGATTGAGATGTTTCCCGGTGAAAAAGAGGCCGGAATCACATTTAGGGGTTGAAAAGGTGCGGATTGTAAATTTTGAGCTTCATCGGTCGACGGATGTGACGACCGACGACTATTGAAACTTATTCTCGAGTAGCCTTGAATTGGATCTCGTCAATCACTCTTAGACCTCGAAAGTGGTGGAACCTTTTTTGAGAAAATTGATCAATTGATAATTAAGATTGTGAGAGTTCAGTTTGTTTATGCTCCAAGAACGATGAATGCCATGACGGATCACCTTGCAAAAGCGACTAAGTATACATGAATTGTTCAAAGCGTGGTGATACTGGTAAGTGCTAATTGTTTGCATACATTTGGGGCTGTTTAGATCTGTGTATTATAGAGAATAGTGGGCAGCAGGTCGAGAAAAAGGAAGAAGATGTAGTTTGAGATGTGAAGGATCCCATGTATTTAGATATGACTTGGTTGGGTGTACTCTTTTCCTTCATTTAGAATTAGAAAGATTTTTAACAATACACACAACTAGAATTTAGGCGTATTTGATAATTAATAAAACTATATTTGCTGAGAAAAAACAAAACCATAGTGGCCATGCCACTCTTATTGGAAACAAGAAATCACACAACTCTTTAAATTAAGCAACCTTATCTTAGTTGCAGACGTCGGGGTTTGCCAAGAGATAAGCTTCAATAGCCTTGTAAACTCCGTCCATTCTTCCAATGTGTTGCTTAATTTCTTCTTCAGTGAATACACCGTCACCGACGGTGTAAAACTTCATCAAGCTCTTGCAAACGCTTCCTCCATTTGCAGCTGCCACAAACTTGTTCTCGTACGAGATTTTCTCAAGCTTGTCTCCCACGGGCCCACCTTCGACCAAACTGTAACTGTATGACAAGTTGTCTTTGTCTTGTCCTTCAATCGTGTGCTTCACGTATTGGAACGGAAGGCCTAAGCAAATAAAATGATTTCATTATGATTAAACATACTGGTATCGAACACACCTGAAAAGAAAATGTAGGAATTAAAGAACTAACCTTCAGCAAAGTTGATCTTGACGATGCTTCCAGTACCACCATTACCTTCGAGCTCGACGCTCTTGATTGCATGAGGGGCAGCCTTGGGAAAAAGCTTGTCGGCTTCAAGAACTAGGGCTTTGAAAAGCCTGGTTGGGGAGATTGGGGAGATAACCTCAAAGTCATAAGTCACAACACCCATTATTCTCAAGTTTTAATGATATTTTCAAGCTAAAAATAAGATAATTGAGTGAGTGTTTTGAGCGATAACTTAGGATGGTATTTATAGGCTCATCTTGAAGCTTATGAACTTGCTTTATTTGAATTTTCAATTGGAATTATATCCAATGTGTATTAGTCAAAGAAGTAATCGTAATTTCTTTGTAATTCTCTAATTGACGACTTCAAATATCAGTTTTCAGATACTTATTGCATAAAATTTAAAATTTTGCAAAATTTCAATATTATAAGGCAATAGTAATTTTGATTAATCATATGTAAATATTATGTTTGGATTATTAATCTGAATTTTTTATTCTATTACAAAAAATCATGTCAAATTTTATTCTGATTTAAACCTAGATATATATTTTTCAATGAATTTATAAATAGTAATCATTGTAACACTAAATGAACCAATATTTGCTACTCTATTGTCATTAATGAGAAAAGAAAAACAAAAAAGTAATTGTAGTCAACTAGTGGGAAGACTTGGACCATCTAGAAAACAAGTAGCCTGCTAAAAACGTTATGAATAGATGATAAGTCAAGTTATTACGTAAATTTCAAATTCATTTAAAGTTCATTTGAATTTTAATTCTTTGTTACACACTTAGACTTTCAAATTTAATCATTAAAAAAATAAATTACACCGATATCACTTAACTTTAGGTAATATGTCGTTTATACCACTGAACTTTTAATTTTCTCAATTATAGCACTACACTTTGGTTTTGACTTCAACTATCTCATTGAGTTGTTAAAATTCAAATAGTGTGATGACATGAACAAAATATCATTTTTTGTCGTATATCGATGCCTAAAATAACGTAGTTTTAGGCATTAAACTTTAGGAGTATATCGGTTTTGTCACTAAATTTTTAAACAATTCACTTTTTGGAACTGTACTTTTCTAACCGTCGTCAATATCCAATCATCACTCGTCACTTATAATCTTTCATGACAAGTTCAATACCAAAATGTACGTATTTCAATATTTTTTTTCTTTTAATATGATTGGTTTTCACGAAACTCACTTAAAATTGAAGAAATAAAACAAAAAATCCCACCACTTTTAGGGGTTTAGGGACTTTATCAGATTTAAGGGGTTTGAGATGTTTGTTCAAAAATCCAAAGGGTGATAAGTATTATTTCAAAAAGATGAGACATATCTCAAAAATAGCATCATCGTACAACCATCAAAGGAGATTGGAGTATTAGCACTTTAAATCTTTAAATGGATTCTTGTTGATTTTGAGCAGGTTTCATGGAAAATCAATAATCATAGGAGAAGAAAGAGGAGTGAAATGCGAACGTTTGGATATTGATCTTGCTAAAAAAGATGATCGGTGACGGATGACTATTGTCTGCCAACAGCGATTGGAAAAGTTTAGAACAAAAAATTGAATCTTTTTAAAATTTAGTGGTATAATCAATACACTCCTAAAGTTCAGTGCCTAAAACAATATCATCTTGAGCATCAATAGCTGCACCAAAACAATGTCATTATGGGCATCAATAGGTGCACCAAAACGACGTCGTTTTGGAAATCAATAGTTGCGCCAAAATGACGTCATTTTGTCCGCATCATCACAGTGACAAAAAGATCCCTCCATGTCATCGCTCAGTTAAAATTTAACGGCCTAACGATAAATTGATGTCAAAATCAAAGTTTAGTGTTATAATTGAAGAAAATAAAAGTTCAATGGTATAAACGATACACTACTTGAAGTTTGATGGTATTAAGTGTGATTTATCCTTAAAAATACAAATATATATATATATATATATATATATATATAGTTGGAACAATTCCTACTTAGGAGAGGGGAATGAGAATTTTAGTCTTAATAAATATTGAACTCACAACCTAGGGAAGAGATGAGGTGTGAAGTCAAACCTTTTAATCACATGCTCTAAACATCGTTGACTTGTATAAACTAGTTTTGCATAACATGTAATATAGTTCAAAATATATATGTGGCCAGTTCGACGTCTCGTTGTATCACGAGCCCTAACTTATTGATTAAAACTACTTAATTGGTATTTCACTTGGGTAAGAGTTAGGCTGCTGCTATAACAGCTGTAGACAACCATGTAGAGTTCTTGTTGTCATTATAAGTATGCTTTCCTTGTTGGAAAATGAGATTCTATGATAATCCACTTTTCATTGCATAATTATCTAAAACAATCAACACTCTTATCTTCCAAAACTTCTCTTTTAATTATTTAAATCATTGTCTGGGCGTTGTAATTTACGTATGACATTTTATTTGTTTTGTAATACAATTGGATAAATAGTTTCAGCTCCTAATAAACACAGTTATTGCTTTCAAAAATAGTTCTAAATTCCATACAATTCTTCTACTTATTTGATATTTTATAATTTTTAATATTAAATTTATTTAGATCAAGATTTCTACTCCAACTAAATATCCTGGTCTCTCTCTTTGCTTAAACTTTATATATAACTTTGAAATCTTAGGAATCAGGCAATCATCCCTCACAATTTCTGCTTTTGATTGTGCTCTCTTCCCTCCTTAGTTACAGCTTGATAAAGGTTTCAAGATGGGACTTGCTCACAATATCGTCGGCATTATCGGGAATGTCATCTCTTTCGGTCTCTTCCTCTCGCCACTGTAAGCACTCTCTCTTTCTCTTTATTCCTTTTCAAGCATTATACGTATTTTCTATTGAAATTGAAATTTAAGCTAACAGTTGTGAATTAATAGGCCAACGTTTTACCAAATACATAAGAAGAAGGCAGTGGAGGAGTTTCAGCCATATCCCTACTTGTGCACAGTGATGAACTGCGTAATCTGGGTGTTCTATGGTCTCCCCATTGTTAAAAAAGACAATATATTAGTGTTAACCATCAATAGCGTCGGCCTTGTCATTGAACTTCTCTACTTAACTGTCTACGTCGTTTATGCTAATGATCGCAAGAAAAGGGTACGTTCATATGAATCAGACACCTTATTTGTTATATAATATTTAATGAATACCTATGGTAACTTAAATTGTGTATGTATAAATTGTGTAGGTTCGTGTTGGGTGTATCCTCCTCTGTGAAGCAGTTTTGACAGTAATCCTTGTGACGGTGGCAATGCTGTGGTTGCACAACCATAGAGTTTTATTCGTGGGAATAACAGCAGATATTTTCAACATTATCATGTACGCTGCACCTTTGGCCATATGGAAAAAGGTTTACGATACAAAGAGTGTGGAGTACATGCCTTTTTGGCTCTCACTTGCGGGCTTGTCTAATGGCATCTGTTGGACCATTTATGGCCTTCTCCAGTTTGACATCTTCATCCTGGTTTCCAATGGGCTAGGATCTGTCTTCGGGGCAGTTCAGCTGGGTTTATATGCTTACTATTACTTTAATGGAACTAAAGAACAAGTGAAGAAGCCATCACAGGTTCAGCTCTCTAATCGACCGAGTGGAGCAGCCTGAATATTTTAGACCCTCTTTCTATTTTGAGTCCCAAAGGGAACACAACTTCTTTTAGGCTAGAGCATTTTTTAGGTTTAGGGTGTATGATATGTTTTATTTGGATATTTTTCTTATTATATTCTCTCTCTCTCTCTCTTTCTTTTTGCCCTTCGTCATGTTTCTTTGTTAACATAAACATAATTTAATCCAATTATTTTTTTAATATATTAATATTTGCAGTATGTTTCATTTAAATCATTGTTACAATTTGAGATTAGCCAAAATTCTTTAATAGAAAAGATATCAATCCAATAACAATTAGAGCAAAAAAAAAAAAGTTCTAGGACTAAAGTGTAAGATAAGTGAAATATGAATCTTTACATGGTGATTTTTCCTAAAGCTTGACTTAGTGGAATGTTATGAAAATTGAAGGATTATTTGTCAAGCTAATATTTTATTAAATTTTGGAATTATAAATAATGTTTTATGCTGATTTTGGAAATTTGGTTTTTTTCTCGATAATAAAATTTTATTAATACAAGATTAACCGTGAAGAGGATGTAATCTCGACGAACCAACATATCAACCAAGCATTCATCATATTGAGAGACCTCACCACAAAAAATAAAGAAAACATTCCCAAAAATGAGACAAGCTCTGCACCATCATTGACTGCAAATAGAAGCCATAACAAAATAATCAAGCACCAATCAGTTAAAAAAATCAGATCACTCCCGCTTAAGATTGTCTAACCTTTACAACAAGCATCCACGGCCACGAAGCGACAAAAAATGAGACCGCTAATACAACCACGCTTAGAACATGGATTGTCTTTGCATTTCTCAACGCTTTGAACAGCTCGCGCCTTAACAATCCAGCTTTTCAAGATGTTCCCCTCTGACATTTCGATCTCTCAGGACATTCTTGGACTACACCATAACCAACGCTCGTGTAAGATGATCAAACTCATAGAAAATTATTCATCATCTCCAAATGAGAAGAAATAGAATATGAAAATTAACGACGCCACCAAATCTGATAAAACCCGAAGCATAAGAAGTCAAGCCAGAAGCATGTGTATCAAAAGCCCCAAAAATTACTCCATTTACTCATTTTTCTCATCAAACAGGTTTGGGAAGAGAAAACAAAGCCATTCTCCATCATCTTCTTCTAAGCTTTATTTTCCATTGATGAGCACTCCAAAAAATCAGGTGAGAGAAAGTAAAAAACACTTCAAGTTCTTTAAGTTTATGTCACCTAAGCTTTATTCTAGAGATCCTATGTACTTATCCTTCAATTAGCGTCATTCATTCTAGTTTCAACCTTTATAATGATTCTCTCAAACCCTAATTTAAGAATAGGTTCATGCATGTATAAGCCTTTTTTAAATTTTTTTAAATTATTGGATGCCTGAATAATCTGTTAATGTGTATGTCTAAATTTCTTAAAGCTCAAGAGGTGGTAGAGGCATGAAAGAAAAATAGAAATAAGTCTAAGAACATTAAAGGAAGGTGTTTAAACTTTAAAGCTTGGAATTTGGGTAAGCATAGCACCCCAAATTACAATTTGAGGTTCTGAGCTATATAATTTTTATGATATATGATGCCTTATAATTTTTATGATATATGATGCCTTGTTATGTTTTATTTTTAAACAATTCTTATACGGAAGGGAGAATGAGAATTTTGTTTTTAATGGTCTTGAACCCATAATCTAAGGGAGAAGGGAGGTGTCAACTGAAAGTTTTTTAACCACATGTTTTAGAGATTGTTAACGATGCCTTGTTATATCATGTTAATGAAATGGCTATGGAAATTACATATCAAATCTAAGAATGAAAATGGTAGTATGTTGATATCATGTTGTGGTGTGACAAATTAAATGACTGTTTAATATATGAAATATACCATAATTTGATCTCCATTTATCTTACGACTCTTATGAATACAAATGTCATATGTCATAAGATCGATTTAATTAGTGCTTATGACATGAGTTATATTTTGATAGGGTGGCTTTGGGAGTGTGATACTTGTGTAGTTGTGTTTATTGATTCAGTGTTGCCTTTAAGCCTTATGAGACTATATGACTATTGATGTTTTTCTTTGGCGTGTGGTGAATCCGTTTCTCCGTCTAAGACTTGGTAACCAAAAGGTCATTATAATACAAATTAATCCGAAATATGATTTCGACGATGGTGCTGTCTGTTGGTTTATTGAGGATGTGTGATCAACTTTATGTCTGTTGGTTATATTGGTGATCTTTGCTTGATTCTGTGTTGCACATGGTGATTTCCTTGACTAATATAGGAATGGGTTTGGCTATAACGATTCTATTTTTTATGTGTTTTGATGTGCTTCGTTTGGGTGTTATATTTTAGGTTTGGTGTTGTCTTGTCTTTGTTGTTTTTGATATTTTACCATATGATTTAGCTGTGATAGGAATATTTAATGAGTTGAGCAGTTTGTGAATTTTTCGAACTTGATTAAGTCAAAATTCGATCAACGCTTAACTCGGATTAATTCGATTTAAACTCGAACTCGACTCAAGATCTTAACAAGTTGAACTGAGTAATATTCAACTCAAAAAAATTAATAATTACCTTAAAAACTATTCTATTAAAAATTATAATTAATAATTACTAATTTACTAATAGATAATAAAAATATACTTAATTAATAATTAGTACTAATTTATTAATTTTATACTAAACAACAAGAAAGATACTAAATTATTAATTTACTAAATATACATATAATTATAAAAACAATGTAAAAATTATGATAATCTGAACGAAAAATAAATAAAGTCGAGCAACAAATTTTCTTTAAACAAGCACAAGTCGAATAAAATTTTATCAAACTTAACAAACAATAAATTTAGTCGAACAACATTTTTTTTAACAAACATAAATCGATTACTCTCAATTTACGATCGACTCGTTTAAACATTAAAAAAATCTACATTATACATATGAAATCGAGACTCATCAAAATTGTTGAAAATCAAACTAGATTGTCGGCAAAGCTTGGAAATTTATCACATTGAGAAGCCCCATCACTACAGCAGCAAGATGATTTGGCAGCTTGTAAATTAAATACTTAATTGCTCAGGAGATAAGGTGGCGATGAAATGGCAGTAGTTTAGCAAAATTAGTGGCACAAAGTTGCAAATTAAATCACGGCAAAACAAGTGAAAATTTTCACCAAGGCAAGCAAGAATTTTCGGGAAGAAAGTGGCAGCTTCAATTAGTCGGTTTACTAACATTATATATATGTGTTTAGTTTGTACATGTGAGTGAAAGTGAAAAAAAATACGAGAAATAGCTTATCAATCGGGGTTGTGTTTATAAACTAAATGTAACTAGTGTTTGTATCGAATTTAGTTCGTATTAATAATAGTATGAGTTATAAATTATCGAGTACCACCTATATTTCCAACAAAAATTCCCCTTCAGTCATCACAAGACCGTAATGCCTCTTTGATACCATCCAATATGAATGGTTCTTCGAGTTTGACAGAATCCAAATATGATGAAGTCTTAAAGTCAAGATCTACTCCATATTTCCATAGGTGCTCTTTGCATTTGAAGTAGTTGTTGAAATGTTCAAAGATCTTCAAATCTAGTAATTTTGAATCTAACACTCCCTAGTGTTCTCTAGGGTGGGCATAGTTCTACCCTAAAATCCAATTTTTTTTTGTTTTAGTTGTTCATTCTGATAGTGTTCATCTTAAAATATGTGCCTATCTTCAAAAACACTTCTGGATCCTTCGTATTAACTCACTTGGTATAGCAACAACAACCCCTGTTAGAAAAAATTACACCGATCAACAAGATTTGCTCCAGTTCAACGTCAAGGTAACAGATGATCAGCTCAAGATTATGGAGCCTTGGAATAGTTCCATTCACTTCTGTCATAAATACCGTGTTGAACCATTCCTGATGAATATTTGTTTTTAATAGAGGCTCCATGATTGTGATATCTTCATGAATCCAGCTTTACCTCGGCGTTTACTTGAGAAGTCTCCTCTCTCATTTTCTTGTACAAGAAATTAATGTGTCGTTGAATATATCAACCATAGAAATCGTAGCCACGTGACTTTGACTGTTGGAAAACTTGAACCAATTAAAGGGACATATAAAATGTTAATATCAGAGTTCCATAACTCTACTTCTTGTTGATGAACCAAACACTCTCAAATACAAATCAATCTCACCAATTAAGAGATTGTTTCAGATCGATAGAGCTAAATAAAGCCTCCATCTCTTTTTTCCTTGTTTGCCTTGAAGCTATAATTCTTCTCACATGCTTCAACTTGCAGTGTCTTAACGCGCTTGATATAGCAACAACAACCCCTGTTGTTAGAGGAAATGACACTGATCAACAAGCTTTACTTCAGTTTAAGGCCAAGATAACAGGTGATCAGCTCAAGATTATGGAGTCTTGGAATAGTTCGATTCACTTCTGTCAGTGGCGTGGTGTTACATGTAGTCGCAAGCATCAGAGAGTCACCAAGTTGGAACTGCAATACCTCGAATTCTCGGGATCTTTATCACCGTACATCGGAAACTTGAGCTTTCTTATGGAGTTGAGTCTAGCGGGCAACAGCTTCTACAGTGAGATTCCTCATGAAATTGGTCGTTTACGAAGACTGGAAACATTAAACCTCACTGATAACTCCATCAATGGTAAAATTCCTTCCAATTTACCAGCTTGTTCTAAGCTTACAATTGTTGATATGAGAAGCAACCGGCTAACAGGAGAAATACCTGCTGCGTTGGGTCTCTTGTCAAACCTGAAATTCTTGAGTTTTTACAACAACAGTTTGAGAGGCAATATCCCACCATCATTAAGGAACATATCATCTTTGGAGAAACTTGGTTTGAGTTTAAACTCGTTAAGTGGGATTATACCTGAAGCACTTGGACGGTTGAAAAACCTTTCATATTTGGTCGTAGGCCAAAATGAAATATCTGGTACTATTCCTGTCTCAATGTTTAATCTCTCCTGTCTCAATGCAATATGCCATATGTTGAGTTCTTTTCCATAGCCGAAAACCAAATCTCTGGACAAATCCCTGTTTCAATATCCAATGCCTCAAATCTCAATGTACTTCAATTTGCTAATAACAAATTCAGTGGAGATGTGCCTTCATTAGAAAAGCTGGATAAAATATCCATGTTATCCCTGTACGAAAACCATTTGGGGCATGGGAGAGAAAGCGACTTGAACTTCTTCTGCACTTTAGTCAACAATACCAAACTAGAAATTCTATATATAGGCTTCAATAATTTTAGAGGGGTATTTCCCGAATGCATTACCAATTTTTCTACAACCCTTTCACAACTAGAAATAGAAGGGAACAAAATATTGGGAAGAATTTCAGATGGGATTGGAAATCTCATTAATTTGGAAGTGTTAGCAGCTTCAATAAATCAACTATCTGGCCCTATTCCCTTTGATATTGGGAGGCTTCAGAAGCTAAAGATTTTTTATTCTAATACCAATTCTCTCCATGGGGTTATTCCAAATTCTATTGGAAATTTAACAATGCTAACTAGACTTGTTTTAGATTTTAACAATCTTCAGGGCAGCATTCCTTCAAGTCTAGGCAAGTGCTAAATGTTGCTATATTTGGATCTTTTGGCAACAATCTTAGTGGACAAATACCGTCTCAAGTCCTTCGGCTCCCATCCTTGACCATTTTACTTATCTTCAAACCATTTAACTGGTGAGCTTCCTGTTGAAGTAGAAAAACTAAAAAATCTAGCTTCATTGGACCTTTCTCACAACAAGTTATATGGTCTTCATCCAAACATCCTTGGTAGCTGTGTAAGTCTACAAAAGCTGTTTTTGGAAGGCAATTTGTTTGAAGGGTCCATTCCATCATCTTTGAGTTCATTGAGAGGCCTCGAGGCATTGGACATATCTCACAATAATTTTTCAGGTGGGATTCCAGAATTTCTTGTGAACCTTAGGGCATTAAATTATTTAAATCCCTCATTTAATGAATTTGAGGGAGTGGTACCAAATAATGGAGTCTTTAAGAATGCAAATGTCACGTTCGTTGAGGGAAACAATAAGCTTTGTGGAGGTATTCTTGAGTTACACTTATCAAGATGTGAACGGAAGAAATCATCAGAGACTTCCCTCAGATTGAAAGTTGCAATTATTATTGTGATTTTATGAGTGACTTTGATTTTCACTTGTCTCTTCATCTTGTTGTTTAGGAAGAAGAAAGAGAAAAATCCAACACCAATTTGTGCGGAAAATTCACTTTTACAGTTATCATACCAAAACCTCCTAAGGGCTACTAATGGATTCTCCACACATAATTTGGTTGGTTCAGGGAATTTTGGTTCTGTATACAAAGGAATTCTCGAAGAGAGTGGAGCAACTATTGCAGTAAAGGTGCTTAATCTTCTAAATCGTGGAGCTTCGAGGAGTTTCTTGACTGAATGTGAGGCCTTGAAGAACATTCGATATCGTAATCTTGTCAAGGTATTAACAGCCGTTTCGGGGGTCGATTACAAAGGCAATGATTTTAAAGCCTTGATTTATGAGTTCATGGAAAATGGAAGCTTGGAGGATTGTGTTGAAAATTCAATATTAGCCTAAATAAGTTCACACCTAAATTCATTTGATGTCATTGCTTACATCAATTTAGTTTTGATGTCATTGGTTATATCAATTTAGTTAGGTGAAAATTAAGTATTTTTCTCATGTTTTTAATTTCAATGGTTTAGATTATTTAGTGATTATTTTAATGAGTGGTTTAGATTATTTCTTGTAACCTATAAATACCCTACTTGTATTTGAGTTTTATCATTCAACAATCAAAGCTTAATTATAAGCATTTTAAAGTTTTCTTAAGAGTTCTTCCCTTTTTGCAATTTTGTGAGATTATTCTAAAGAGAGTTTTTCTTCTTTTCGATCAATTAGAGTTTTTACTCTATTTTGATTCTACAATTGGTATCAGAGCCAGGTTTTTAAGGTCTCTTGAAATTCCAAGAATGCTCTGTGGCTGCAGTTTTTAACTGATCTTCCACATCAGAAAAGATTTCTTGAGATTATTATCGGGGTTATTACAAAGGAGCTTCTTTGTGCTTAGAGTAATTTAGTATTTACACGTTTGTTACTCAAACTTGTTCGGTGTAGTCAAAGCCTTGCCATTAAGATGGGTGATCTTCAAGTAGTTGGAGGAATCAAGAAGCTCATCAACAAATACTACAACACGTGGGCAACATGTATGGAGTTATACTTACAAGGTCAAGACCTTTGGGAGGTTGTCGGTGGTGGTGAAGTTACACAACCGACGGCAGAAGATGCCAATGGCATCTTACGAAAGTGGAAAATTAAAGCATGCAAAGCAATGTTTGCTTTAAAGACCACAATTGAAGAAGATATGTTGGAGCACATCCGGGATGCTAAAATACCAAAGGAAGCATGGGATATTTTTGTTACACTCTTTTCGAAGATGAACGATACAAAATTGTAACTTCTCGAGAATGAACTTCTATCAATGGTGCAACGCGACATGGCAGTTGCCCAATACTTTCACAAGGTGAAGTCGATATGCCGCGAAATTTCAGAATTAGATCCGACAGCTGCTATTGGGGAAGCCAGGATAAAAAGAATAATTGTCCATGGTTTGAGACCTGAATATCGAGGGTTTGTTGCCGCTGTACAAGGATGGCCGACACAACCATCGCTTGTTGAGTTCAAAAATTTGCTTGCAGGTCAAATAGTCATGGCCAAGCAAATGTGAGGAGTCTCGCTGAAGGGTGAAAAGGAAGCGCTCTACACCAGCAAAAACAGAGGCACTTTTCAGCGGTATACTGACAGTGGATCTAAAAAAGATGGTGACAAGGTGAAAAATTACCAAGGAAATTGAGGCCCTCATTCAGGGGGGCATCCAAGAATCGCGGTAATAGTAGAAAGTTTGATGGCAAGTGTTACAACTGCAGGAAGATGGGTCACATGGCAACATATTATTGGACCAAGAAAAAGCATGTTGAAAGTAATATTGCTACTTCTAGTTCGAAGGAGAATAGTGAAGATTGTTGGGATGCTGAAGCGTTATTTACTATGGAAGAAGAAGAATTAGCTCTCATGGTAACAACACCAGAACGGATTGACTACAAGAATGATTGGAACGTAGATGTTGACTGCTCAAATCATATGACGAGTGACAAACAGAAGTTGCAAAACCTGTCTAAATATAATGGAGGTCGTGTGGTGGTGACAGCTGACAACTCAAGGTTACCAATAACCACATCGGTAAGACGATTGTTACGCCTCGATATAATACTAACTAGGTGCAACTTCAAGATGTTTACCATATCCCAGGAATAAAGAAAAATTTGATATCTGTGGCTCAACTAACATCATCAGGCCATTACATTTTATTTGGTCTCCAAGACGTGAAGGTTTATCGTGACGTCAAAATCTTAGAAACAACAACAATGAAGGGACGACGTTTGGAGTCAATTTACGTGATGTCAGCAGAGTCAGCATATGTAGACAGGACAAGAAAAAATTAGACATCAGATCTATGGCACATGCGGTTAGGTCACGTTAGCTATTCCAAGCTAAGTGTGATAGTGAAGAAGTCGATGCTTAAGGGGCTTCCTCAACTAGACGTGAGAACAGACACAGTCTGTGTGGGATGCCAGTATGGTAAAGCACACCAATTACCATATGACGAGTCGAAGTTTAAATCAAAAGAACCGTTGGAGTTGGTTCACACTGATGTGTTCGGACCGGTTAAGTAACAGTCAATTAGTGGTATGCGGTACATGGTAACATTCATTGATGACTTCTGTAACACCCCCAACTCGTATCTGACCAAGATACTAGTCTGAGGTGTCACATTACCTTTTTAAAACACCTTTCTTACAAAATCACAACATTTGAACTTATATTAAGAAGATACGATAATATACATATATTAATACACTTTTACCAAAATACTCAGAGCATACACAACTTAACCCTTTAGTTACATGCCAACATCCATTTACATAACAAAATGACCTACTGGTTAAGTTACTTCTGATCTGATAGTTGCAGGAGTAATGTTGTCCAGTTGTTTAACCTCAATCGTCTACTTTATCGGATCCTACGTGTGAAACACTCACACGCTAAGTCATCGGCTTAGTGAGGTAATATAATAATAACAATAAAATATAAAGGAATTGCCAAAATGAGATGGTTTGCAATGATAATATGTATGTAAACAATGCAATAACCATAACCATGTTTCTTACACATAGATTTATCAAATTCACATTCATAAGTTCACATTATTAAGTTCATTAGCCCATGATACCATATTGAGAACCTAAGGTATGTGAGTATTGTGAGGTTGTGCACTATGTTGTCACCACAGCTCGTATAATTGCACCGAAGTGCCACGTAGAATTGCACCAGAGTGCCACGTAGAATTGCACCATGGTGCCATATAATAATGTCCATAAAGACCATATACCATTCCTTAAGAATCATATACATATACTAGGGATCAAGTATGTGTCTCACAAGACTTCACACATGTTCTAAAGAATATATATATATCCCGAAGGACCGCGTAGACCCTCTACCATTGGCATGCCAACTATTCAACTATTCAATTTATCTACTTTGGTCACTAAATTTTAAAATTTCACAATTTGATCACTAACCCGGTATGGAGGATGTTACAAATCTCCCTCCCTTACGAAAATTCATCCTCGAATTTTCATTACACGAACAGATGAGGATATTGAAATCGTATATCTTCTTCACGTTCCCACGTGGCTTTTTCTACTTTGTGATTCCTCCAGAGAACTTTAACCAATGGAACAACTTTATTCCTCAACTGTTTTACTTCATAATCCAATATTCTCACTGGCTCTTCTTCATATGTCAGATCCGATTGGACTTCTACTTGTTCTGGTGCAACGATGTGAGAGGGATCAGACTTATATCTTTGTAACATGGACACATGGAAGACGTTATGGATCTTCTCCATTTCCGGTGGCAAGGATAACTGATATGCCACGGGTCCTATTCTCTTAACAACTTCATATGGCCCAATGAATCTAGGACTTAACTTTCCTTTCCGACCAAAACGTAATATTTTCATCCAGGGGGATACTTTAAGGAAAACTTTATCTCCAACCTCGAATTCAATCTCTTTTCTTTTAAGGTTAGAATAGGACTTTTGCCGATCAGAGGCTACTTTAAGGTTATGCTAAATTTCTCGAACTTTCTTTTCTACATCTTGAATTAAATTCGGACCAAGAACACTTCGATCTTTGAGTTCATACCAATTTAATGGAGTACTATATTTCCTCCCATATAATGCCTCGTATGGGGCCATCTTTATACTGGACTGATAACTATTGTTGTAAGCGAACTCTGCCAGCGGTAAATACTTTTCCCATGATCCTTTGAATTCTATTACGCATGCTCTCAACATATCTTCCAAGATCTGAAAAGTTCTCTCTGATTGCCTGTCAGTCTGAGGATGAAAAACCGTACTAAAGTTTAAACGAGTTCCCAACGCTCCATGCAAAGATTTCCAGAATCTAGAAGTGAATCAAGGGTCTCGATCAGAGACTATGGAAACAGACACTCTATGCAATCTAATAATTTCTCTAATATACAGCTCAACGTACTTTTCCATAGAGAAATTTGTTCTAACCGGAAGGAAATGCGCTGACTTAGTAAATCGATCAACAATTACCCAGATTAATTCTCTTTTGTTAGGAGTCAAGGGTAACCCCGAAACAAAATCCATCGTAACATTTTCCCATTTCCATTGAGGAATGTAAAGCGGTTGCAATAATCCTGACGGAACTTGATGTTCAGCTTTGACTTGTTGACATATCAAACACTTAGACACAAATTCGGTGATGCTTCATTTCATCCCTGGCCACCAAAATCGATCCTTCAAACCCATATACATCTTGGTTCCACTCGGGTGCATCGTTAATGGACTGCAATGAGCCTCTGTCAATATTTCTTTCTTCAAATCTTCATTGTCGGGTATAACAATTCTTCCTTTATAATACAAATTTCCATCTGACTTAACCTCAAAGTCTTTAATCTCTTTTCTCTTTACTTGCTCAATTCTTTTCAAACACGTTTCATCTTTACTTTGCAATTCTCCTATTCGTTCCAACCATGCTGGTTTAATTTTTAACTCTGCACAAAGACCACCGTCTCTAGTTAAAGATAATCTTGCATCCATAGCTCGTAAGGCTGTAAACGTTTTCCTGCTTAAGGCATCTGCTACCACGTTAGCCTTTCCGGGATGATAGTCAATTATCACATCATAATCTCTCAAAAACTCCACCCATCTCCTTTGTCTCAAATTAAGCTCTTTTTGAGTCATCAGGTATTTCAAGCTCTTATGATCTGTATACAAATAACATTGTTCTCCATACAGATAATGACGCCAAATCTTGAGGGCGAACACCACTGCAGCCATTTCTAAATCATGGGTGGAGTAATTCTTTTCATGTGGTTTCAACTGTCTCGATGCATACGCTACCACATTCCCTTCTTGCATTAATACACACCCCAACCCATTATGGGACGCGT